TGATAGATGAGGAAGCCTGGTGTGCTGCAGTCCATGGGGTCACAAAAAGTCATAGAAGACTAAGCGACTGAACTGAATGCTTCCTAAGGCCCACTTGACCTCATACTCCAGGAGGTCTGGCTCTCGGTGAATGACCACACCATTGTGGTTACTGGATCATTAAGACTTTTTTGGTATCATTCTCTGTATTCTTACCATGTCTTCTTAATCTCTTCTGCTTCTGTTAGGTCTTTACCATTTCTGTCCTTTATCCTGCTCATCCTTGCATGAAATGTTCCCTTGATATCTCCAGTTTTGTTGAAGGGATCTCTTGTCTCTTCCATTCTGTTGTTTTCCTCTATTACTTTGCATTGTTCACTTAAAAAGGCTTTCTTATCTCTCCTTGCTGTTCTGTGGAAGTCTGCATTCAGTTGGTTATATCTTTCCCTTTCTGCCTTGCCTTTGACTTCTCTTCTTTCCTCTGCTGTTTGTAAGGTCTCCTTAGACAACCACTTTGCCTTCTTGCATTTCTTTTTCTTTAGGCTGGTTTTTGGTCACTACTTTGTGTAGAGTTACTGACCTCCATCCATGGTTTTTCAGGCACTCTGTGTATCAAATCTGATCCCTTGAATTATTCGTCACCTCCACTGTATAATCAAAAGGGTTTAATTAAGATTATACCTAAACTGCCTAGTAGTTTTCCCTACTTTCTTCAATGTAAGTCTGAATTTTGCAATATGGAGCTCATGATCTGAGCCACAGTCAGCTTCAGGTCTTGTTTTTGCTGACTGTAGAGAGCTTCTCCATCTTCAGCTGCAAAGATTACAATCAGACTGGTTTCAGTATCGACCCTCTGGTGAGGTCCTTGTCTAGAGTTGTCACTTCTGTTTTTGGAAGAGGGCGTTTGCTATGACAGGTGTGCTCTCTTGACAAAACTCTGTTAGCCTTTGCCCAGCTTCATTTTGTACTCAAGGCCAAACTTGCCTCTTAACTCCAGGTATCTCTTGACTTCCTACTTTTGCATTCCAATCCTCTATGATGAAAAAGGCATCACTTTTTGGTGTTAGTTCTAGAAGGTCTTGTAGGTCTTCGTAGAACCGTTCAACTTCAGCTTCTTCAGCATTAGTGGTTGGGGCATAGACTTGAATTACTGTGATGTTCAGTGGTTTGCCTTGGAAACAAACTGAGATCATTCTGTTGTTGAGATTGTACCAAGTACTGCATTTCAGACTCTTTTCTTGATAATGAGGGCTACTCCATTTCTTCTAAGGGATTCTTGCCCCCGAAGTAAACATGATGGTCATCTGAATTAATTCCCCCATTCCCATCCATTTTAGTTCACTGGTTTCTAATGTTGTCAATGTTCACTCTTGGCCATCTCATGCTTGACCTTGTCTAGTTCACCTTAGTTCATGTACCTAACATTCCAGGTCCTATACTTTGTTGTTCTTTACAGCATCAGACTTTCCTTTCAACACCAGATACACCCACAGCTGAGCATTGTTTCCACTTTGGCCCAGCCTCCTCCTTCGCTTTGGAGCTATTTCTCCTCTCTTCCCCAGTAACATGTGACACCCTCTGACCCGAAGGGCTCATCTTCCAGTGTCGTATCTTTTTGACTTTTCATAATGTCCACAGAGTTCTCGAGGCAAGAATATTGGGATGGTTTGCCATTCCCTCCAGTGGACCACGTTTTGTCTGAACTCTCCACTGTGACCTGTCCTTCTTGGGTGGCCCTGCATGGCATGGCTCATAGCTTCATTGAGTTACACAAGCCCCTTTGCCACAAGACTGCCATCCGTGAAGGACTTGCTTATATTAAGTGAATCTATTTCTAGGTTCTCTATTTTTTTCCACTAGTCTATTTATTCTTTTACCTGTAGCATACTGTGTCAATTATTGTAGCCTTATGGTAAGTCTTGAAGTCAGGTAGCTGCAGTCCTCCCACTATGTTTTTCTCCTTCAGTAATGTATTGTCTCTTCTGGGTTTTTTGCTTCTCCGTATAAACTTTATCATCATTCTCGCGATACTCACAAAATACCTTGCTGGAATTTTGATTGGTATTGCATTCAACCTGTGGATCAAAGTGAGGAAGAACTGATACCTTGACAGTATGGAGTCTTCCTATTCATGAATATGGAATATCTCTCCATTTATTTAGCTCTTCTTTCATTTTGTTCACTAGGGTTTTTTAGTTTTCTTCATAGGGGTTTTGTGCATGTTTTGTTAGGTTTCTTCCTGAGTATTTAGTTGTTTTGGGTGCTGATGTAAATGGTATTTTTTTTCTTTTAAAATTTCAAATTCTATTTGTTGATGGTATATAGAAATAATTAGCTTCTGTAGGTTAACCTTGTATCCTGCAACTTTGCTATAATTGTTTATTAGTTCTGGAAGCCTTTTTTGTCAGTTCTTCTGGATTTTATTTCCTTTTTTATCTTTACTGCATTAGCTTGGACTTGCAGTGTGATGTTGACAAGTAGTAATGACAGCAGACAGCAGACATCCTTGCCTTGGTTCTTGCTCTTAGTGAGAAAGCTCTTAGTTTTTCATTAAATGTAATGTTAGGGGTAGATTTTTTTTAGCTATTCCTCAAATTGCAGCAATTCTGTATTTCCATGAATGGGTGTTGGAGCCACTCTGCTACATTTTTATGTATATGTACTTAAGGGTATTTCAAACTTTATTGTAGACAGTCTGGTTGACAGGCTTACTGCCATTTCTTACACATATTCATAGTTATTTTCTTAGAGTTGAGTTAACAGATAGTCATTGAGTGTTTGCTGCCAGGAACCTGGTAAAAAGAAATAAAATAAGACATTCTTCTTTTCATACAGAGTTTGTAGTCTATAAATAGATAATAATGGTAATACAGTGTGGTAAGAGAAATTATGACAAAAGAAACAGATATGCATTGGAAGCATATATACCACTCACCTAACCACACTCTGTTAGAGAGGAGGTTGTCAGGAACATCTTCTGGAAAAAGCTTATAGGAAAAGCTTATTTGTTTTTAAGTTCCTTCAAGAAGAAAATGCTAAGGTGAGTAGACGTGTACCTTTGTGAGAGTTTGGAGATGTAATAATGAGCTCCTGAGAGAAAAGAAACTGCTTTTTAAAATTTTCCCATAAGGAACTTAAACTGTTTTTGAAAGCTGTAAAGAAATGTCCTTATGCCATAGGGGATAGTTTACTCAAAAAACTGTTCAGAAAAATCTTATTAATTAGAAATGGCCTTAAAGTTGATAATTTACCCTTACTAATTAATAACTATTCATTAGTATGTACCATTAAGTAAGTGGAAAGGCAACAGTACAAACTGGGAGAAAATTTTTTTCTCCATACATATGTGATACATATCTAGAACTTGTATCTAGAATATGTAAAGAACTCCTACAAATCTATAAGAACAATAGAAAAATAAGGAAAATACTTAAGAGACCCTTCACAAAAGAAGATATCCAAATGTCTGTTAAACATACGAAAAACGGCTCACCATTATTACTCATCAGGAAAATGCCAGTTCAAATCACAGTAACATGCACTCTGTACTCTACATATCCATAATAGCTTAAGTGAAAGCATGAAATATATTTAAGTGTTGACAAGGATATGAAGCAGCTGGAAGCTCTCTATATTATTGGTGTGTGTTAGTCACTCGGTCGTGCCCAACTGTAACCCCATGTACTGTAGCCCGTGGTTTTCTCTGTCCATTGGATTCTTCAGGCAAGAATACTGGAGTGCGTTGCCATTCACTTCTCTAGAGGATCTTCCTGACCCAGGGATCAAACCCTGGTCTCCTGCGTTGCGGGCAGATTCTTTACCATTGAGCTACAGGGAAGTCCTATGTTACTGGGGGGAGTGTAAATTATATAACTGCTTTAGAAGATTTCTAGTGATGTCTTCTAAAGCAAAACATTTACCTATCCTGTGATTCCTCTCCTAGGTACATACCAAACAGAAATTTGTTCACTGTTTGCTAAAAGATACATGTGCTGGACAGTTCATACAGCACTATTGATAGTGGTAACAAACTGATAATGAAATTTGAAAACCTAGATGCTAATCAACAGCAGAATGGATCAGTTGTGGCGAATTTACACAGTGGAATATTTACCTCAACAAAAATGAGTGTTCTATTATTACATGCAACAATATAAAAGAGTCTTGTATATATAGCATTAAGATCAAAAAACAAAAAAATTGTGTTTTGAATGATTCTAGTTCTGTGAAGAGCAAAAACAGGAAAAACTCATCCTTGTTGGTGGAAGCCTCGGTTGGGAGAGGGTAAAGAATGGAAGGGAGCATGAGTGGAGCTTTTCAGTTTGATAATGTTCTCTTTCTTGATCTGGGTGCTGATTACACAGGTGTGTTGGGTTTTGAAAATATATAGCTGTGCACTTTTGATGTATAAAACTTCCTTTTTGTGTTATGTATTTTTTTAAGTACTGGTTTTAACTAATTATAAGAAAACTGTGGTAAATCTAACAGTGTTGATTCCATTTTGCTAATTTTTATACTTTCAGAAATACAAAAATATTCCTTTAGCTTAGTTGAAATGTAAATAATTGGGAATTTTTTAGTTTGACAATACAGAAATTTTAGAATAATTGTAGTCTTAAGTCAAAAGTCAACTACTGCTAAACCTTTTTCTTAAAGTATTAATTTGAACTTCTTATTCATGCAACATATTTGCAAGGTCCGATTTTTACTATTATATTATATGCTATATAAAACATTAAAATTTGTTTTTGTTAATTATAACTAGATATGACAGATTAGTATATCTCACTGGGTGACTGGAAAAGATTTTCTGTTTTAAATCTTAAGTGACTTCTTGTTAAGAAAGACGGTGAGTGAAAGTGTGTTTTTGGTTATTTCTTACCCTCAGAGGAGGAACTGTAAATAGCTGTTCTTATTCTTTCTTCTCTGCTTATCAGGAGAATGTTTTATTTCTGTAGTATCTGGAGACATAATTATAACAGACAAACATGGCAATCCATTATCAATTATTTTTTTAACAGTCAAGTCCATCATCTCCGGATCCAGCTAGCTTTCTTGCAGAAGATATTAGTACGAACTCCAATGGTCCAAAGCCTGCAGAAGCTGTGCTAGATGATGACAGAGAAGATCTTTTTGCAGGTAATTGTAAATACTTTTATTTTTTTTTAAAGTAATAGTCAATTGTGGCATATATCCTATTAGAAAATATTCTCTAAAACAAAACTAACATTTTCTGTGAAGTACTATTGATGGCTTTTCTTGTTAATGACTTAGGATGATAGGAAATTTTAGTTACTTTGATTTGTGAAAAATAAAGACTGTTGTGAGAAGCACGAATGTGATCCTTTCTGGTTTTAAGCATTTGGAAATAAGTCACAGTAATAATTTGATTATTTCTAGCAGTACTTGGACACAAACTAATGGTTGTGGCATTCAGACTGAATAGATTCTTCAGGAATTTATTTTTGATATGGCGGCAGGATTTGGTGTTATGAAGAAGGCAGTGGCAACCCACCCCAGTACTCTTGCCTGGAAAATCCCATGGACGGAGGAGCCTGGTAGGCTGCAGTCCATGGGGTCACTAAGAGTCGGACATGACTGAGCGACTTCAGTTTCACTTTTCACTTTCATGCATCGGAGAAGGAAATGGCAACCCACTCCAGTGTTCTTGCCTGGAGAATCCCAGGGACAGAAGAACCTAATGGGCTGCCATCTATGGGGTCACACTTAAGTCGGACACAACTAAAGCGACTTAGCAGCAGCCACAGCAGGATTTGGTGTAGTCCATTTCTACCTTTAAAAAATTGGACCCTCTTGAAAACAGTAGTTAAGATTAAAATTTAGATACAAATTAATGTTTGGATATTAAAAAGCAGCATCTTAGAATTAATGGCACAAATAATTGCAATAGTAAATCTTTGTGTGTTTAAGAGCTTAATTTACCTAAACTGTCTTTCTTTGAGTTAAAACTTGATAATGTATCCTCCCTCAGCTTTTATAGTGGTTAAATATTGAAACCATCCTGTATTTTTTTAATACAAGTATGTTTAAAAATACAATCCTCTATGACAGAGGTCCATATAATTTCCTGTTTAATGTGTGAAAAGTTTTCACTGCAGATGAATTCATGTATTTTATGAATTCATGTCAGAAAATTAAAATGTGAATACAATCATATTCCCAGCCCCTCCCCTCTTTTTCTGTTGCTGCCTAACAACTTAGAGTATAATGACAGTTAACCAAAATTGTAATCCTCCTTTTTCTTTTCTTTCATTAACTTTCTCCCAGGAGATCCTTGGAAGTTTCTTCGTGGCATTTATGTTTTAATCTGAAAGATGACAAAAGTAGCTGCTAATCTAAAATTGTGGTTATTCCTCTTAATAGTAGAGGGTCATACATAGAACACTTGGATTACCCATTTTATTAAAGAGTCTTTAACCTTTAAGTCTCAGAATTCTATGTTAATGAGTGTGCTGAAACTCTAAAAGCAGAACTCTGATGTATGCCTAGGAAAGATGGTTTTCTTGTTTACAATGTGCCCTGCTGATCAAACAGTTTGCCACATCAGGGCTGAGCAGTGATACTTGCCCAGAAAGCTCAACTAGAAAAATCTTTTTTGTGCCAGTGTACCTAATGCAGACTATACTAAACATAGTGATTGATCCATGGTCAGTGTCAGTGTTTTTGTTTGTTTTTAAGGAGAAACAGAGATGAAGCAATAAAAAGAGTCATCTGTTTCTTTTGTTACCTGCAGACACTTTTTATGCTTTATCTTTTATCTTAAACTCAGCTACATTTAATAATGACATCGTTAGGTTTCCTAAGACCTGGATAAGAGAAGAAACTATAGGTATTGCTGTAATGACTTAGCCATTCTGGTTTTAAAACCATAATGAGATTAGATTGTAATTGGTATGTATGCCAATATACTTTGGGTAGCATTTCAAATACTATTATGTCAGAAGTGGCATCAGAAAAAGTTCAAGCATGACTTTTGTTACTGTTATTAGCTTACTTTCAGGATGTTCACCAAACGTGGGTAACTAGAGAGCCGCTTTCCCATCAGTACCATCCTGCACTAAGCTTCACTGAACACGTTAGGAAACTGTCCAAGAGGAGTAAGTGAGGGTGAGCAAATTGCCAGTGTTGAAATTGTCCTAGACTTTTAGAACTTGTTTTTGCCAGGGTAGTTAGTGTATTTCACTTAACGCTTTTCAGCAGATTATACCAAATCCAAAGTTTAACAAGTATTCCTTTGTTTGAAAAATTCTCTGGTGTCTGTGGTATGAGTGAAATGTTACTTAGCTGACATTGACATAATCAATTTACACTTACCTTCAAAGTGTCTCTTTCAAGGAAATGTTAATCTTTATACATAGTATATATGGGACTTTTTTCTGTAAAAAAAGAAAAACTTTGACTTATTTTTTTATTGAGGTATAGTTGATACATAGTATCATTTAAGTTTCAGGTGTACCATATAGTGATTTACAATTTTTCAAGTTTATACTCCATTTATAGTGTTAAAATGTTGGCTGTATTCCCTGTGGTGTACAATATATCCTTGTAGATTATTTATTTTATGCATAGTAGTTTGTATGTTTTAATTCAAAGAGGTAGAAATTTTTAATACCTCAAAAATTCAAGAGGTATCTTACTGCTTCGAGTAAATAACATATATGTTATTACTGATATACATTTTGAGGTATTAAAATGACTCACTGTGTATTGTTACTACCTTCTCAAACTTTGAGGAATCTAAGAACCTCAGGTTAGAAACCACTGATCTAATCCTGTTTCATTTACAGTCCTTCCTGCCTTTTCTTCCTGCCTTTCAGTTCTATAAACCAGCAGAACTGTGGTTATTATTTTGGCCACTGATTATAAATTTTACTTCTCTGGCTTTGCTTTTAACTTACTCAGTTATGATTGATTCCTGAACAATATGGGTTTGAAATGCTCAGGTCCATTAATATGCATTTTTTTAAATTAGTAAATACTACAGTACAACTTGATCAGAGGTTGATTGAATCCAAGAATGTGGAACCTCTGAAACAGAGGAGCCATATATATGAAAGGCCTAAATATAATTTATACTCAGAGTTTTGACTGTGGAGAGGGTTGGTGGCCCTAACCCCCATGTTGTTCAAGGGTCAACTATGTTTCATTTTGGGAAAATACTTCCCTCATTTTTTCTCTAAATCCATTCAGATCTTTTCTTTTTTTTTTTTTTTAAATCCATTCAGATCTTTTCAATTCAGTTTCATAAAATATTCCCTATTTTCCCCAGCCTAGATTATTCTCTCCCATCTCAACTCAAATTATAGTTTGTTCTATAGTTCATATATCAGTTAAACGTTTTGTTATGCTCTTTATATTGTTCTCTTGGCTGTTATTTGTCTTTTATTATTTAACATTCCACATGCTTATGTCTTGTTTTCCCAACTAGATTATAAACTCCCTGAGGGCAGGTATGATACTTTACATTTTTTTGTGTTTCTTCATTGCATTTAGCACAATGTTACATAGCTTTTAGACACAGTTTATTGATTTGTTTTGTTTATAAATATATTTAGTTTTAGATTTTTCAAGTAAACAAGCACTTTAAATGAAAACCTAAACATCTATTGCTTGGTATATATTTGTGTATTCAGCTAATATTCAGTAATCTTTAGCAGTTAATTGCTTTAGATTACTAACTTTGTGGACTTTCCATAACAAATTTTTAATCCCCGTTGGGATAGTTTATGTTCATGTGTATATAAGAAACATAATATTAGCCTGAATACAAGACTTTGGAAGGTAAGTTACCACAAGTATTAGATATATTATAGATCCAGACACAAATGAATGTGGAATTATTCACATCATTGCTTTCCTACTAGCTTTATCCCTTTCACTAGTATAGATAGCTATGTTGACTTACTGGAATTCTTCCTAAAATCAACAAAGTCACTGTTGGATTTAAAGTTTTAAGTAAACCACTAAGGAAAGTGGTTTATTATTATTAATAAATTATTTATAACAATTATTTTAAAATAATATTTTGATATTATGGGTCATATAAAAATGTTTCATAATTCATTGCCTGCTCAACTTGTTACCAGTATCCTCAACCAGCTTGTTTAATTTGTGTCTAGAAGCTACAGAAGAAGTTTCTCTGGACAGTCCAGAAAGGGAACCTATACTCTCCTCAGAACCTTCTCCTGCAGTCACACCTGTGACCCCCACAACACTCATTGCTCCCAGAATTGAATCAAAGAGTATGTCTGCTCCTGTGATCTTTGATAGATCCAGGGATGAGGTATGGAAAAATGTTTATATTCTAAAGTAATATGTAAGTAATACTTTTGTTTTTGTTCCCGACCCAGCATTTCTCTCCTGTCCATCATTTGTAATCAAAGCCTTTTAGACATTTCCAAAAAGAACACTAAAGAGGTTGGGTGATTTGACTTCTTAATTTATCTCCACACTTTTTAATCCAGTAACTTGAATACATCACTTTCCTTCTCAAGTCAGACAGTTTGTCATTTGTGATCTTACCATAATAGTCCCGTGGACTTAGGCACCTGGCTGGGCACAGTTCGTGTGGCCGCAAAGAGTCGGCCAGGACTGAGCGACTGACTACGTTGGCAGAGCAGGGGATGTGTTGTGAGTGGAGAGGAAGCATGAGGGGCTTCTAGGGTGTAATGATGGTTTTCTTTCTTGATCTCGTTTCTGGTTACAGAGATATGTTTACTTTGTAAAAGTTATTGAGCTGTATACCTAGGATTTATATACTTTATGTTACAGTTCAGGTAAGGCTTACTTTTCAAAAATCTGTGCAGTAGGGCACCTTTGAAAAAAATTATCATTAGAAAAACATGCTTTTCTGAAGTCTTAGAATATTAATATTGCTTTTAAATTTTGAAAAATTGAACAGTTCCTGTGTTTTCTTCTTGAAGGTAATAAACCTTTCTCTCAGAGCTACTGTTAATAGGGATTGCTTACTTATAATGACATAAAAAGTGCTTCTCTGTAGTCTCATAGGTTGATCATTTTTCCTACCTTTTTTCTCAGTTTTGTAGTGCTTTTATTGGCTTCAAGAAGAACATGTGTTTACTAGGTAATTAGAGAAATCATGATGATCAAGTTGCTTATAATAATTTCTGCAAGTTTGTAGGATTCTACTGGCAAAAGTAATGGCTATTTCCTGGGTTTTAAAGAGGAGAGATACAGCTTTGAAAAACAGTAACATTAAAAATAATTAAGGAATTATTTTCATAACATCCTTCTGAAGATTGAACAAAAATATTCCACAGTATTCCTCCAGAAGTTTTCTTTACATCTGAGGAGTCAGAGGAACACAAGACTTTGTTACTTCTCCCAATTATCCTTCTCCTGTTGTCTGTGTGTGTGTGTGTGTGTGTATTTTTCACATAGGCAGGAAATGTAGAAGCTTTCATTGATTTTCAGAAATGGAGTGCTGAGTGATTCTCAGATTGTTTCGTGTGGCAGTGATCCTAATAAAAGATAGATGGTAAAAATTATACTTACTGGTATTATGACAATAATACAAATTAGAATCTTTAATACCAAAAAAAATTTTCCTAGATTGAAGAAGAAGCAAATGGAGATGTTTTTGATATAGAAATTGGTGTATCAGATCCAGAGAAAGTTGGTGAGTCAACACTTACTATATTTTGTACTTGCTTCTTTTTGATAATTAACGTGGTTGTTAGTGTGCTGTTTTTCTTAACTACATGCATTGTTACAATATTAAAACAGTGCTTCTAAGTTTTAAACTTGCGGCAGTTTGGTGGTTTGTTTTTTCTCCCAGCTTTATTGAGAAATAATTGACAAATAAAAATTGTGTGTATTTAGGATGTACACACATTGCAATTATAATGTGATAGCTTAATATTTTATGAAATGATTACCACAATCAAGTTAATATATTACCTCACATAGTTACCGTGTGTGTTAAGCTTACGAATTTTAATAGCTTGGCTTTTCTTATAGGTGATGGCATGAATGCTTACATGGCTTATAGAGTAACGACAAAGGTAAGCCTTTTGCTCCTCTAAAAAAATACTGAGCCCTCACTGTGTAGTTTGAGGATACTACAGTGATTAAAGTGTATGTGATCACTGTCTTTACAAGGTTATTATCCAGTAAAAGTTGCATATAAATAGTCACAGTGAGTCCTGAGTGGTTTGGTGGTTAGAGTGTTCTGGGAGGCTTTGCAGGAAGGGATCTAAGCTAGGCAAAGTAGAAGTGTTGCGGGTGGGAGGGGGGCAAAGGGATTTGCTTGTGTAAAAGCCAGAAACAAGAAAACATTGTGCTTTCTAGGACCTGCCGGAAGTGGTGCCAGATTAAATTGTCTGGCAGTAAGCCTGCCTTTATTATGAACAGTCACATTAGGAATTGTATGATAGAGAACCACTGAAGTTCAAACAAGAGTGTGGCTCAATGAGATTTTTGTTCTAGAAAGCTCTCTCTGACTCAGTTTGGATTGGGAGGATAGAAGTGTCAGGGAACTTCCCTGGTGGTGCACTGGTTAAGACTGTGCTTCTACTGCTGGGGAGTGTGTGAGTTCAGTCCATGGTCAGGGAACTAAGATTCCTCGTGCTGCACAGTGCAGCCAAAATAAAAAGAAAGGTCAGGAGGCTGAGGCAGTTGCAATTCTTAAAGGGATTTTAGACCTTCAGATCGTAAAGACAGAGGGTCTGCAGCAGTCCTACTGCGAGAAGTGATGCTTAATACTAAGGACTTGGTTCTGGGGATGAGTGAAGAAATAGGAGGTGTGATCAGTAGAGCTTGGATGTAAGAAGTCAGGAAGCAGGGAAACCTGAATCTTTGTCTAGAGGAACTCTGTGGTTGTTGGAATGATCCTGGAGAAAAGGCAATACAAAGGGAGGAACCAATATGGAGTGAAATTTGTTAATTCATTATTAGACTGAAGCTCAGTGGGGATCTAGGCTAGAGGTAAAGATCAGAAGTTAAGAATCATTAGCATAAATACAGGTAGAGTTGGTGAGATGAGTTAAGTGTAGGATAAAGCAGGTGTTTTCTGTTAAAAAAAACACAGCAACAACTATGATTTGGGGTTTTTCCAGTTGTTAGAAATCTTTGTTTCACATTAGTTAGCTACTCTACATTTTTTTTGCAATGTAGACCTCTGTGTGTGTGTGTACACATATTCACAGTTATGTATTACATTAACTTTTAAATAACTTCAGTATTCAAAATTTGAAATACCTCTTCTTCACTTGTAGACTTCTCTTTCCATGTTCAGTAAAAGTGAATTTTCAGTTAAAAGAAGATTTAGTGACTTTCTCGGTTTGCATAGCAAGTTAGCAAGCAAATATTTACACGTCGGTTATATTGTGCCACCAGCACCAGAAAAGAGTATAGTAGGTAAGTGTGAATCTTTAAAAGTTGATTTTTGTTACTGGTACTAGTACGTTCAGTTTTAATTGCATGGATTTGTGTATTCCATGATCATTCACTATCATGACATATCAATGTTGTAAGAGATTCTGAATTTATTTATTTTTTTTATAAATGCCATACAAGCTTTTATTTTTTTGAATTTTTTCTAACTTTGTGAGACACTTTTCATCAAAAATAACCCTTGCTTTATGTTATTGACATTGCCTCCAAAAAAAGTCTTTCATGGCTCTAATAATTCTAGTTTAAATATCTATTAAGTAAAATATTACAGTATTTCTTAAAGGAAGAGAGGAGTCACTCCAAACATCTCTCTGAGTCTCTCTTCAGTGACTTTCAGGTTTTAATTTTTTTATTTATTTATTTTTTAAATATATTTATTTTAATTGGAGGCTAATTACTTTACAGTATTGTATTGGTTTTGCCATACATTGACATGAATCAGCCATGGATTCCCTGTGTGTTCCCCTGAACCCCCCTTCCACCTCCCTCCCCATCCCATCCCTCTGGGTCATCCCAGTGCACCAGCCCCGAGCACCCTGTCTCCTGCATCCAACCTAGACTGGCGATTCGTTTCACATGATAATATACATGTTTCAGTGCCATTCTCCCAAATAATCCCGCCCTCGCCCTCTCCCACAGAGTCCAAAAGACTGTTCAATACATCTGTGTCTCCTTTGCTTTCTTGCATATCGGGCTATTGTTACCATCTTTCTAAATTCCATATATATGCGTTAGTATACTGTATTGATGTTTTTCTTTCTGGCTTACTTCACTCTGTATAATAGCTCCAGCTTCATCCACCTCATTAGAACTGATTCAAATGTATTCTTTTTAATGGCTGAGTAATATTCCATTGTATATATGTACCACAGCTTTCTTATCCATTCGCTGCTGATGGGCATCTAAGTTGCTTCCATGTCCTGGCTATTTTAAACAGTGCTATGATGAACATTGGAGTACACGTGTCTCTTAAGAATACTGAATTTAAATATTCTATTTGTGATAGTCATTTATCAACTGAAGAGTGTAGCTAAAAATTTTATTTCTAATACCTAAGGATTTTGATTTATACAATGTGATGATATTAAATATTAAGTTGGAATTTAGCAAGATGAAAGCAATTGAAAACCCTTTTAGGATTATTAGAGTACCTTATCGGAGAAGGCAATGGCACCCCACTCCAGTACTTTTGCTTGGAAAATCCCTTGGATGGAGGAGCCTGGTAGGCTGCAGTCCATGGGGTCGCACAGAGTTGGACACGACTGAGCGACTTCACTTACATTTTTCACTTTCATGCATTGGAGAAGGAAATGGCAACCCACTCCAGTATTCTTGCCTGGAGAGTCCCAGGGACGGGGGAGCCTGGTGGGCTGCCGTCTGTGGGGTTGCACAGAGTTGGACATGACTGAAGTGACTTAGCAGCAGCAGAGTACCTTATTACTGAGTAACATTTAGAGAATATTTAATATTATTGGCATATTAACATTTTTCTGAGAACTTGGAGATGGAGATGTTCTGTGCTCAGCTATACATTGTACAAAAAGATTTGATCTAGCCTTGCTCACACAGGAGCTATTTAAACTCGTTTTATTTTATTACATACCTCAATTTAACATTTAAAAACATTTCAGTTTTACAGGTAATAAAGCCTTACTTAGTTAAGAATATGCAGAATATTACAAAAGAGGAAAACCTCTATTGTCCCACCATTAAAATTTTGTAGTATTTTTTCCACTCTTTCTTTTCAGTCATAGATTTTTGGTGTTCTCTCAGGAGAAGTTGAGTGCACATCCTCGTTCTCCATCATCTTAAACCAATTTCCCAGTCATAGGTTTTTATTTAAATCAATTTTTTATATACATAAGATTGTTATTCTGAAATATATTTGAAATAAGTTTTACTCTAAGTTACTGTTTTTACCTCTTTAAACATTTGGTTTGAAAAGCAGCTTTATCTGTATCTTTTATGATTTTGAAACCTTGATATATTCAAAAACATTTTTATATTCTTGCTCTTTTTTAAAATTCAAAGATCTAGTATAGTTCTTCAGTTTTTTGGTCTCAAAACCCCTTGTATATTCAGATTTATTGAAGGGCGTTAAAGAGCTTTTGCTTTGGGGGCTGTATCTCTTGATACTTACATGTGAGAATTTTTAAATTGTTTATTAATTGATTTAAAAATAATAAACTCATAACCTGTTATTAACAAATAAGGTTTTTGTGAAAAACTATTTTTGTAAGACAAAAAAATAATTATAAGAATGGCTTGCAGTTTTTGTTTTTTATCGTTTTGCAAAATCGCTTTAATTTCTGGCTTAATATAAAATAGCTTTATTTTTACATCTGCTTCTGCACTCTATCTTTTGTAATACAACACATCATATAACTTTAGGAAAGCTCCACTGAGTTCTCATGAAAGAATGAGAGTGAAAAATACTAAAATAACAGCGTGGTGTATTATGAAGATAGATTTTTGTACACATCCCCTGTCACTCCTCAAAAAGGTCTCAGAATGCTTCCAGATACTCTAACCATGCTTTGTGAACTGCTAATCTAGTTAATAATTTTATTTCTCTAAACTGTTGCAGTGGTATCCTTTGGCCTTCCATTATCTGTGTAGTGAACTTGTTTCATTTATCATAAATTATTTATTATTAATATCCTTTTTTCTTTAGCTTTAAGTTGTACAACTGTTTTTAATATATCAAAAGAGGAAAAACAAAATAATTTTTCTCATTTTGGTGACTGGATACACTGGTCTTTAAACATTGAGCCAGGAAAAAAAAAATTTAAAAACTCAATTTTTATGCCAAGTTTATTGTGTTTCAAACTAATATTTTTCTCTAATAATCTTCAACCTTCCACCAATTATTAGATTAAAAGGATTGAAAAGATTGGAAGAATTTGAGGCAACCATACAAAATGCAGTTTAAAAAAAGATATAAAGAGATTAGCAGGAAAAATAAATGTAGTTAAATAAAAGATAAAGTCAAGTTAGTTTCCTCTAAATGTGTGCATAAAGTCTGAGCAATTATTAAAGGTGGATAACAAGTTGTTCTGTGAAGTTCTTGGCAGAAAATCAAGTAGAGAAGGAGTCATTTTAAAAATTTCATGTTGTCCATCGGTTTTTAAAAATGAATACATTAACTAAGAAAAAATTTGCACATGACTTTATTTTTTAAATTCAAAGAGGTTCTGTGAAAGAGCTCATTATTTCAGCTGTTATAAAGCCAGATATGATAAATAAACAAGAACATGTTCTTAAAATCTGTGGCAGAGGAAATACTTAGCATATTCACAGATTACACTTATATTTTTCTAATACCAAAAGTAAAGACTTTTAATTATTGCTCAAAAGAGATAAAAATATCAAGTGAGCTTAAACTCATGAATTTGAACTCCATTATGCATATTGCAGTGCAGACACATTTTAATTTACCAGGAGTATAATATATATCAAGTAAAATGAGGATTCCATACTGGAAAACTTATAGACATAGCTCAACCTCTGCTTTTAGCTGTACTCTTTTATAGCTTACATTAAAAGTACTTGCCAAGTATATATATTAATTTGTCAAATGTATGATGCTAGTTACAATTTTTGGCACTTTTTTGTCAAGTTCAAATATATTTTAAATTATTCAGAAAGTGAAAGTGTTATTTACTTAGTTGCATCTAACTCTGTGACCCCATGAGCTGTGTAGCCTGCCAGACTCCTGTCCGTGGAATTCTCCAGAGAAGAATACTGGCCTGGGTAGCCATTCCCTTCTCCAGGGGACCTTCCCAACCTCGGGGTTGAACCTGAGTCTCCTGCATTGCAGGTAGATTCTTTACCATCTCTGAGGCACCAGGGAAGCCAAATTATGCAGAAATTATTTTAAAAGAATGTTTCTCAGTAGTTGAAAATCATGAATCTCATTCAATTTTTTCAAAGGCATGACCAAGGTCAAGGTGGGTAAAGAAGATTCATCCTCCACAGAATTTGTAGAAAAACGGAGAGCAGCTCTTGAAAGGTAATTCTAATCAGCTATATTTATTACTCTTATGTTTTTACTTCAGTAATATGTTTGATTCCACTAAGTGGCACAATTATATTATTAAGTATGGAAATTCTGAAGTACCACTCAGTTACTCTTAAGAGTACTGTGAGTTTTTTTAAAGAAAATTGGTTCATTACAAAATGTGGTACTGTATACTTGTTCCATTTCTATTAATTCTCATAACAAAGTATCATGTTTTCATCTACATTAATTTTTCTCTTGAATAGTGATATTGAAATATCACTAAATGCAATGAAAACGTAGGTTTGTGCTCCCTCCTTCAGTTCTTTATAGTTGATTGTGACTTGAGTGTACAAAAGTGTTAATCAGTGCTTGAACTGACTGTAGAGTTAAAGGCTGATAGATATCTATACTGTACCTGCTTTTACACTTCTTGACCTGACACATTTCTTATAGCTTTGAAGACTTGTGTTCATTGTGGCCAACTCAAAAAGAAATGGATAGGAGGAATCTACTCCCAGAATCTTAACACCTCTTCCTTTCTATGATGAAAATATGAGAAAACAAGTTCAAAACTATCTTAAAGTTCAACTTATAGTTGGTAATTATGTAGATTTAAAATACTTGCTACTTTCATAGTTTTTTGGTTTCTAATTTTAATCAAATTTATTTGTTTTATTTTCTCTCTCGGCTTAAAATTAGTGGTTAGAGTAGATAAGGACAGTTTTTAGGAAATAGCATATATATCTACTGGGTATATATTAGTTTTTAAAACTCTTTTTCAGACAACATAGTTCTGGGTTTTAGTAATTATTTCAATTTTAAGAAAATGCCACAGTAAAGTCAGGTTTGAACAATTCATAATAAGAAAAGCTAGTGTGCAACTTAATATCTTATGTTAGAGAAGACTTAAAAGATGAGATTATGTCGGTGAGGCTAGCAGTCACCTTGGAAAAAGATGTAAATTGCTAGAAGTTTAATTTCGGCATTAGAATTGATTCTGTTGTGAAAAGTCATAGACTGAGTATGTTTAAGAATAAAGATAGATAATGTACTGCCTTGATTTCACTTAGTTCTTCATGAAAGTATAACCATGACCTTTTGAGGAGCCTTTCCAGTCCTGTTTTCCTGTGAGTAAATTTGAAATATTTTGGATGACATCCTTGATAAGAAACTTAATGAAGATTTATTGTACCAAGGACATATTTGATTCTTCACTCACCTTTTCTTTTAACTTGAATGCATTGCGTAGTACTTAAACCATACCTTCATTCACTATGTAACACTGAGGAGAGTTTTAAGGAGGTATTGAAGCTTGACCTAGTGTATTTGTGAAGATAGTTTCTTGACTAGTAAATATTATTTGTTAAGTACTATCAGTACCTTAGTAGAATTTGCAGTAGTGAAAAAGCATATTATGAGTTCATTCTACATTATAGAAGATAACTAAAGAAAATACAGGTGTAAACATAAAGAGCAGAGGAACTGGAATGATTTTTATTGTGAGTTTTCTGTGGCATTTCTTAAAATTTAAACATTTAGGCATTTCTGTGGGATACATGACCTAGTTGGATCTGGCAGGTCAAGGATGTATTTCTTCATATACACTCTAGGAGTCATTTACATAGTTTTTTTTTTCTTTTTTTTTTTTTTATTAGTTGGAGGCTAATTACTTTACATCATTACAGTAGTTTTTGTCATACATTGAAATGAATTAGCCATGGATTTACATGTATTCCCCATCCTGGTCCCCCCTCCCACCTCCCTCTCCACCCGATCCCTCTGGGTCTTCCCAGTGCACCAGGCCTGAGCACTTGTCTCATGCACCCAACCTGGGCTGGTGATCTGTTTCACCCTAGATAATATACATGTTTCAATGCTGTTCTCTTGAAACATCCCACCCTCACCTTCTCCCAGAGTCCACAAGTCTGTTCTATACATCTGAGTCTCTTTTTCTGTTTTGCATATAGGGTTATCGTTACCATCTTTCTAAATTCCATATATATGTGTTAGTATACTGTAATGGTCTTTATCTTTCTGGCTTACTTCGCTCTGTATAATGGGCTCCAGTTTCATCCATCTCATTAGAACTGATTCAAATGAAGTTGTTGTGTTACATAGTTATTTGTTGAACTTTGAGAATCCAGATGACTGTCTTGAGCGAAAAAACTAATATCTGGTATTAAAATATGGGAAGAGAAAGGGAGTGGTTAAGAACCCAAACATTCCTCCTGTGCCACACTGAGTAAGCTGAAACTACATCTTCTAAGTCTCCTAAAGATACTCACGTTGATTTTCTTATGAGTGCTTCATGTGTTACCTTATGAGCATATTGAGTTTGTTTTATATAGTATTGATACACTTCTGTGAATATAAACTGAGAAATGTAAAGTAGAATGAAGTAGTGTGTAGGGTTTTAGAATCCTTTCTCTGTTGAAACCTGCACTCCATTATGCATTGCACACTATTTGTGAGGTCTTGGACCAATTATTTAACCTAAATTCATTATTCCTTATCTCTAAAAATGTAATTGTATCTTAATAAGTACCTGAAAACCCAGCTGGCAAAGCTTCAACAGTTAGTGTAGATTGATTAATCCACTGATACCAGAAGGTTTGGAGGTAGGCAGATTTTAATATTATCAAATTCATCAGGAAATCCTATTGTTTCCTTTTGCTATCTGGACAACAGTTTTTTCATTTGTTCACTACTAGTTGAAACGTCTGAATTCACTACTGTAGACTCCAAGTTGATCTCCCTGTTTCCATCCTCGTATCTCTACTTTTTTTAATTTAACCACCAGTGTCATCTGTTTAAAATGTGAATCATCCCCACTCATACACGCACCTAATTTCACTCAATAAAAGCCATAATCCTTATAATGACCTATAAAATCTTCCATGACATACACTGCTCACTCTGTTACGTGCTTGATCTCATATCTTCCTTGATCACTTTGCTCTAGGCCACACTCACCTTTTTGCTGCTCCTCAGAGATCCCAGGTATTTTCTCACCTGGGTTTTCACTCCCCTACCGTCTGTGGCACTGCCTATAAAGCTTTTGCTCTTGGGGTATCTGCATGGCTAATTCCATTACCTGTTTAAAATTCAGGCATTCAGGTATCACCTTTTCTGACCTATTCTGTTTAAATTGGCATCAACCACTGATCCCATTGGGCTTCCCTAGTAGCTCAGTTGGTAAAGAACCTGCCTGCAATGCAGGAGACCCCGGTTCGATTCCTGGGTGGGGAAGATCCCCTGGAGAAGGGATAGGCTACCCACTCCAGTTTTCTGGCCTGGAGAATTCCATGGACTGTATAGTCCATGGGGTTGCAAAGAGTCGGACACGACTGAGCAACTTTCACTTTCACGTATCCCATTTACTTGTCCTTTCATTTCTCCACAGCATTTACCATCTTACCTCATACTACATAATTTTTATGATTTGCTGTCTGTCTTCTTTTTCTGATATTAAAGCTTCAGTCGAAAGGAATCTTATTCTCTTTTGTTCATTGATACATTCTGAGTACTCAGAACAGTAACTGATGTATCAAGATATGTTCCTTGAAGGAACAAATGAATGTCATCAGAGACCCAGGTTCTTTTGTAGTAGCATTTGTAGAGCCACAAATGCTTTTGTAGTCTCTCTTTGTTAGCACATTTGTTTGAGTCTAAAGCAAGAGAAATATCTTTAACTCTGTTTCTCTCAAGCATTTTGTATAACCTGCTTTATTCTGTTTTGGTAAGTAGAAATTTGAAAGCGACCCCATGGACTATAGCCCTCCGGGCTTCTCTGTCCATGGAATTCTCCAGGCAAGAATGCTGGAGTGTGGGCCATTTCCTCCTCCAGGGGATCTTCGTGACCCAGGCATGAAACCAGGTCTCCTGCATTGCAGGCAGGTTCTCCACCATCTCAGCCACCAGGGAGGCCGTTGGAAGCCCCTAGTGATTGTGAATATACTGATCCTTAGCGCAGATCTTAAGAACTGCCTCCTGACCGCTTCTTGTAGAGTCTGATACTTACTTTTCATCAGTTGCAAGCATCTTTCATTTATGTGTTCCTTCAGTGTTGGTTCTTCTCCCAATACCTCTTTTCATTTTATTTTCAGTGTATTCTTTCTGCATTCATTTTTGCTCTTTATCTTTCTTCTACACATCTATAACCTTCTCTGAACTTAATTCTGAATTGGTGTATAGTTACAAATAGTTAGTCAATTAAAAATCTGTTTTATGTTTCTTTTCTTAATTTTAACATTATGTAAGTTTAATACCTTTTTAAAGTGGTTAATTACTCTTTATTTTCATGTAACCCCTAAAAAAGTTTTACTGTCTTTTTCTAGAACATAATTTTTCAACGTTGATTCCTCAAAATGCTAGTATGTTTTAAGGTGAAAAAAAGAAATCTACTGTCTGAGGTTTATTAATGTAGGCTTTAACAAAGTTAAACCAAATCTTTTTCCTGCAGTACTTCTCGCAGTATTTAATATGCTGCTGTTCACTATGAATCTTAAAGGAATATGTATGTAATATATTTCACACTTTGTTGGTTATAGAAACACTCTTTTTCTTGGAATATTTCATGAGACTAGTATTCTCACTTAATAGAACTCACTCAAAAATTGTCACTAAAAACTCATTTTAAAAAGTTATTTTAGAATATAAGTACTATTTCCATTTAGGTTTGAAGTACTGCAATTTTTCTTGAAGGTTGTGTACTAGATGTTTTGTCTTCCTTGCTAGTTTTATGAATGTCTTAAGTGCTTGCTATTTACCAGCTGTTGTGTGCGCTCAAATGAGCAACTTATGAAGACTGCTTTTAAACAGCACACAGCCGTAAACAATAACTCAGTTAGAGTAGTACTGGAGAACCAGTGTTAAAATTGTTTAAGTAAAATTCCAGTGGAAAAATATAACCATTTCTCAAACTTACAGGATTAGTGTTCCTACTGTACTTTTTTTTTTTAGTTTTATAAACTAAGCAGCAAATAAATATTTTTTAAACCCAGTGTAGATTGTATTGTACATATCTATTAAATACTACTTCTATTATAATGACGTCTTACGTGAGCTGATGACTTAAAATGAAGTTTAATATGGTGAGTATTTTATTTAAATATGTAAAAACAGAAGTTAATGTTTGAGCTTTTTTTTTTCCCCCCAGAAACTCTTAGGCATATTCTATAATCTGTTCTGAATAAATAGAATAAAGGCATATTAACTGTTAGGCAAATTATTATAATTGAAACATTACTGTATGTAATTATTAATCCAGGGAAAGATCAATTTTTAAAAAATGGGATTAGATAAGTAGCAGTGATTCAAATGGTGGAATTTTTTTTCTTATGAAAGAAAGATTGGTAATTTATTATGAATGACAGGGTTTGACCTTTTCTCGTAAAGGAAATTTACTAAAGTAAACTGATAGTGATTTAATAATGATGTTTCTCTTTACTCTTTATTTTATGTGATGTCGTATAAGGAAAACATCAAAAATAGCAAAACCTTGGAAATAGAAATATTGAAAAAAATTTAGTCCCTGTTAAATGAGGATGAAAACTGATTTGATTATTTAAATCTACTGCCAAGGGGGGAAAAATTGGTAGGCTGTGCTCCATTTTGGTAATGATGGCAATTAAAAAAAATAGTTTGGACTAATTAGTAATATATATATTACTAGAATATATATAATAGTGACTGGGGACATACTGACCTGCCAAAAGATAAGAGTTGTTTGATAAAGTTACATATGTACCCTAACTCTTAATATTTTGCAGTGAGAAGTTTGGTAAGTAATTTAACCTCTCCCCATTCCTACCCCTAGCCCCTACCATGCCTCTTTTTACATAATTATGAATTTTCAAAAGATGAATGCAAAGCTTTTTAATTATTAAATTACTGTAAAATTCTACATAATTAGAGTGAAAGCAAACTGATAGGAAGCAAACAGAAGGCATCTTTTAAAAATATTTCAATATTCTTTTGTTGAAATAAGATTTAAAATAAGATGCTACTGATAAATAAAAGCATTTTATTCTTAAATCTAGGTATCTTCAAAGAACAGTAAAGCATCCAACTTTACTGCAGGATCCTGATTTAAGGCAGTTCTTAGAAAGTTCGGAGGTACTATTTCTACTTTAAATTTTTATATGTATATGTTCTCATTTATGATTATCAGTGTAGTAATTTATATAAGTATAGGTGTTCAGCAAACAGCTGCATTAATAAATGAATTAAAACAATGTGGGGTTTTTTTGCCTAGTGCTTTAATTAGCTTTAATTACTTAACTAAGTACATAGCAATATCATAATATCTTCTTCATATCAATAATTGTAGGATGATTATTCCCTTTCTTGAAATATATTAAAACCAGATTTAAAAGAAAAGATTACAAACAGTCTAATTCTGAATACCCTAAGTCATTGCTTAGGCATTGTGTTGAAATAAGTTTATTCAGACCTCATTTTAGAGATAGTTGAATGTGGGTTTGTATGTCTGCATTCTAATAGTCTTATTAAGGTTTTGAAATGGAAATGTGTGATTTGAAAGAACTTTAATTATAACCATGCTGATCTTTATATTTGGCACATTTTATCCTCTAATTGTTACCATATGAGATTTTTTTTTAATCTACTTGAACTCCAGAATTGTTAAAAAAAAAAAAAAATCCAAATCGCACAGCCCTGACAAAGTAAGCATAAGGAGATTTTTCTCAAGACTTGCTCCTTTTTTCCTTTTAAACAGTTTATATCTGCTAGCAAACAGGTGGCCAGTGTTAAGGTGCTTGGCAATTTCTTAATATATTTTGACAAACAGAGTGTTGTTCCATCTAAATGTAAACGTGCAGAAGAAAAACAAATGGAAAGTCTATTTTTTAAGTTTTCCTTTGAGAATGTACAAGTAGTGTATTTGAGAAATTAGATCTCACTATTGAAATGTATGAGAGTGAAGAAAATACAACCTCCTTTTTTTCTTTTCTTTTTTTTCGGGGGTGTTATGTGGGGGCTGTCCCTTTTGTGGCCAGTTAAACCTCTAGGCTTTTAACCGGTTTGTTTGCCCTTATTTGTCATTCAATTCCAGCTGCCTAGAGCAGTTAATACACAGGCTCTGAGTGGAGCAGGAATATTGAGGATGGTGAACAAGGCTGCCGACGCTGTCAACAAAATGACAATCAAGATGAATGAATCGGATGCAGTAAGAGCTGATTTTTCGACTTGAATAATGAGATGAATTAATGAGCCCAACAATTGCATTTTAAAGCTGTACAAGTAGAAAATAGGATATTAATTTGCTTATTGAGTTTAGTTCTCAGCACATCAGTTGACCACCATGGTTATACATGGTTAATTCGTTGCCTTAAAACAAGGAATGTAGCTTGCTATTGGTAACCTAATTTACACTGGTTTGTTCTGGCTAAATTAGCTCCATTTTTCATTTTTTCTTAGTGGTTTGAAGAAAAGCAGCAGCAATTTGAAAATCTGGATCAGCAACTTAGGAAACTTCATGCCAGTGTTGAAGCCTTGGTCTGTCATAGAAAAGGTTTGTCTTGTTATTTATATGTTTAACACTGTAAGTTAATTCAGATATTTTATTAAGTTTTATTAAAAAATGATTATTTTAAAGTTGTGAAATGAATAGTTTTAAGAGAATGTTTTCTATTTCAACTTTGTTACTTAATATTTTTTGTTGTATTTTAATCTTCTAGTTTAGAAGGAGAAAAATCTTAGGTTTGTAAAAGTATATTTTGAATTTTAGATTAAAACTGCTTGATTATTAACTCTTTGTTAAACATATACTGAATGAATGAAGATGTCTTATTGATAACTCTTAAAAATTAAAGAATGAAATTCAAAAATTGATATTTGAAATTTGTCTTTAAAATGTAGTTTTGTGCCTATATTTCCTCAAGAACTGTGAAGCATTTGCTTTATTTTTCAACCACAATATTTAAAAACCCAGCAAGGGGAGTGTTTAAAATTCATTAAAAAATTGAGTTCTAATTTTTTATTCCATTGTGAGGTGTTTTTGGTTTTGTTTTATTTTTAAAGAATACATGACTTCTAGAACTACCTTTTTGAAACACTTAGTAAGTAATTATCTTTCTAGAACACTTTCTAAACCATTTAGTAAATAATTTATTACTTGTAAGTGCCATTATCAGTAATATACTGCAAAAAAAAGTAATTACAAAAATCTACTAATATATTTCTTATTGAAAGTAGTTTATAACAGTTTTTCCTATTTATATCCTCTCTTAGGGAACATTTTATGGTTCTTTAAGAGAACTTTACCAAATGCAGAGCAACAGAGCAAATCCAAGCAAAGTAATCATTAGTTCTTAACATCTGTTTTTCTGTTTGATGTGTTTAAAATGATCACATTCAAAAATTCTTAATATATCACTAAGCATTGGTGTTGCACACAAAGAAAAAAAGAATAAGATTTATGTGAATTATATATACAGTTTTGCCCTGCTTTCTTCCTGTGAGCTAAATAATAATCTCATAAGAATTGTTATTTTCAATAATAAATACATGTTTAAAGGCCATATAATGTAATACAAATCAATTGTGAGTGTTCCCAGTGCTTTCCATATAAAAATATTTATTTTTTTTCTTTTTTAGACTATACAGAGAAGCACTTAGGAGGAGAATGGGAAGGGAGATTATTATATTAAATTTTTAAACATAGTTTATGCAGTGTACTTGTAAATTTTCAGTAGAGCTCTGAACAGTTGACACTTATATGCCCAAGGATTTTAACGACTTTTTTTCATGTTATTATTTTAAAATATTTTTTTATTTTTTAAGTGGAGCATATTGCTTTACAGTGTTGTTTTAAAATACTTGAGCAGTTTGTAAATAGATAAAATTTAAAGAGAATATAAAATATCAATGCAATATTTAAGAACTTCACTAGTGAACACTAAAACTGAATACTTTTCTGTTTCAGAACTTTCAGCCAACACAGCTGCCTTTGCTAAAAGTGCTGCCATGTTAGGTAATTCTGAAGATCATACTGCTCTGTCTAGAGCTTTGTCTCAGCTTGCAGAGGTCGAGGAGAAGATAGACCAGTTGCATCAAGAACAAGCTTTTGCTGATTTTTACGTGTTTTCAGAACTACTTGGTGACTACATTCGTCTTATTGCCGCAGTGAAAGTAAGCCTTACTTTCTAATCTTCCTTGAGCTTTCCCTACTTCAGTGCTTTGCTTATGAGAAGAATATGGTTTCATGTTAGGCATGCATTTAAATATGTAAATTACACACTACACTAGTATCTGTAAAATGATTTCAAGATGATTATTCCTAACTTAATAGTCTCTTCCCCATGACTTAGTACCACAGGCAGAATTGATGTTTTTTAAGGGATCCAAGGATGCCAAATACAGTAAAACCAGTACATACTTACATATCTACATATATAAGTTTGCAGCTAACTGATGGCATTAGTTTACTCTTTTCTGGCATGAGCTGAAACTACCGGCTGGACTCTGTTCTCATTAGTAGAGTTACAGCAAGTCAGACAAAACCAGAACTGACCGACCATTGCATGAATATACTTAAAAGTGACTTTAGCGTGCGTTTAGACTATAGGAAAACATTTCGTGTGGTCACCGTGTGTTTATAGATGACATGGGACTAGATTAGATAAAGAACTGTGTTTTTAAGTTGTAATGTCAGAGGATGAGCAGTCTTAAGTTTCTGAATAATGGGAAAGTAATCCTGTTGACTGATAAAAATTAGTCTTTTACAGGTATCTCCACTATTCAGGTAATTGAACTGTTATTTTGTCTGTTACATATTTTGGAATGTACTTTTTAAGATCTGATGGTGTCTTTGAAGTATTGTTATGAACATTAGTTATCATGGAATAAGGGGAACTGAAAGTTTACTTTGAATTCAAACATCTAAGAAGTTAATGTAACCTTGTTCCTTGCTTTCTTACACAAATTTTTTTCATCTTAAGTCTGATCAAATTGGTATTCATCTTTTATCAGAACATTGATGCATTTCATCTTTTAGATGATTCTGTTCTCAGGCTAATGACAGTTACTGCTAGAGGGTTCTTAGCACTTAATAGAGGCTCCTTCTTAGGTTTAGGTTTCGCTAAATTACCAATTTTGTTTGTATTTACTCTTAGATGTCACTCTTTATATTCCTGGTGGTTAATTTTTCTTTTCAGTTATTTAAAGATGTTAATATAGACAGTTAATCAGAGTATACTTCATTTTAACTAGGCAACTTGTGATACACAGAAGTCCAGTTTATAGATAATGGTTCTTGTTTCTCTGCCACCTACCCTCACCTCATTCCAAAACTCGCACTAGCATGAGAGTTGTTAAAAAGAATAACACCTCCAGAAAAAACCTGTGGGTTCAAAAAGGGACACTTGGCACTGTCTATTATGAGAGGTCGTACATGCTGACAAGAGCTAACCTGGGAGAAGACTCCCTCTCAGTGTTCGTCTGTGTGATGGATGCTCATCCTTCAAAAACAGCTTTTCTCACACTGCCTCTACCTTCTTACTGCATTTTTGCACCTCATGAAGTTACAGTTATATTCACATCCCAGAATGTTTCCTACAGAACGCTTACACTGACCAGAGTCAACTAAGTCTTTGAGATAATGTTTGTGATATCCCTGTCTTGTGGATTCAGTGTACATTTAAAAAGCTCAGGACTGTCTAGTAGTAAAAAATGAAATAGACATTTAACTTTGTTTAATCCGGAGGCTTCCAAATTCATATGAATAGGAATTCTTTTCCACTTAATGTCCTTTCACATATATGGAACACCCTTTGGAAAATACTAAATTAGTATGGTCTGTGGTCAAGTTATACATTAAGATGCATTAAGCTGTTTCAGATTGATTTTCTACTGAAACCTAGCCCAACTCAATTTCATAAAGGAGTTGAGAAATTATGAATGACATAATTTTTTTGGTAATTTTTATGGTCTTTATCTTTTGTTTGTTTTTAAATTTAAACTAATTCATTTGTATTTCAATAAGTAATAGATGCATAAAATAATTCTAGCAGCCCTAAAAGGTAATTTCTTTTCTACCTAAGACCTCTCATCTCTCTTCACTCAGTCAAATACTGTGAGGTGTCTTTACAGAATTAGCCATGCATGTATGTGAAACTGATTCTCTTTTTTTTTTTTCCTTCTATCTCTTTTTCTCAACCACCTTTTTCTCTCCATTTATCTCTTCCTTCAAAAAGGAGCATACTATATGCACAGTTCTTTGCCTGCTTTTTTTACCCACTCCATTTCTAAGAGATCTGTTTATCAGTTTATGTAAATATATTTTCTAATCTTTTAAATGGTTAATCATATTCTGTCATTTAGCATATAGATAGACCTTGAATTATTTGATCAGTCTAATATTAAGTATTTTGATAATAACTCTTTGGGCATAAAATCCCTAGAAGTAGAATTACTTGACCAGTGGATATATGAATTTTAAATGTCCATGATCACTGCCATGTTACTCTCTAAAGAAGTATAAATTTTAATTTCTTTAGTTATTGTGAATATAAGCACTTTTACAAACAGTAAGCCTTTTGCATTTCTTTTTTCTGTGAACTGTTTGTGTCATTTGCCCAGTTTTCTTTTAATTTTTTGTCTTACTGATTTCTAGTAGCTGTTTAATACTACTTAGCCCTTTGTTCTATCTGTATTGAGAGTATTTTTCAAAATGATGGTAATTTTGAAGCTAAAGTACTTTGAGAACTAGCTTAAAATTAAAGTGACTGCTGAAAACAGGAGAAATTGGGGTCTTAAAGAAAGAGATAAAGTTCACTTGCTCAAAATACTCTCCAGTTCTGCCCTTGAAGCCAGAAAATTCCTGTTTTCCTCTTTTGTACAGCCTCTGACATTTGGGACTCCACATTTTGGGTAGTACTGTTAACTGACATGTATTAAATGGTAAACTCGTTACATACATTCTCATGTGTTGGCTTCCTATGAACCTCTAGAGTAGGGTCAGGAATTGAGGTAGTAGTTTTCAGTGTTTTCAGCACTAGAATTCTTTATAAGGAATTCTTACTCTGAAAGTAAATGTATAAAATATATAAAATGTAATTTTTAAAAAATCCAATAGTTGGATTCCCCAAGGAGTTTAGCATCTTCATTGTTTGTCTATATAATCAGCATTCTTTCAGGACTCCAGGTATCTGGGCCACATACTTTTGGATTCACTGAATTGGAATATGGTATTAATTAAATTAAAATGGGAAAAAATTAAAATTGTAGCGTCAAATTTCCTGGTTGGCTAGGAAAACTGCTTCACAACTGCAACCTTATCCAACTTAGACTAGCTTGCATACAGATAGGTACCATAAAATCGCCACAGATGTGGAGTCTAAAGTGAATCACCAGTCTAAATGTTTCCCTCTTACAGATGAAACTGGTTGAACCAGAGTGGATTAGTATCTTGCCATGCAGAGGCATACATTAAGTTCTAATTTGATTTTTTTTTAATATATTTTTATTTTTTATTGAAGGATAATTGCTTTACAGAATTTTGTTGTTTTCTGTCAAACCTCAGCAATAATTTGATTTTTAAGATCACATTTTTAGGAGATTAAGTGTGGTTCTGATTCTCTCTTTATATTCTAGTGTTACAAGGGTGGAAAGACAAATGAAGAAAAAGCTAATTTTGGGGGAGTTAAGATTAATTTTTTTCCCAAAATAACCAGACTTTCATCATTTTGCCTTTATCATGGTTCCTGTATCTGTACCATAGTAAACATGTGATGATTCTGGAATATTATGAAATAACCTGGGCAGAGACCAAATTAGTTTCCATTGAAAAGGCCCATTGATATATATTAAGAACTTGAGCAAATATTGAAATTAAAGGGCTTTTTAGTTCGCTTCTGCCCTGTATTGGTAAATATTTTAAATAATAAATTTAGTTATTGAACAGAGGAATTTAAAAATAAAGAGCTGATACGGCTCTGTCCCTTTAAAGGAAAACTAGGCCTTAAAATTGTAAATTACTTTTAAAATTTGTGTATATGGTGAGGCACAGGGATTGCTTCTTTTAAATGATAGTGACTTTTGGAATGTATCTGTGTTAGATTTGTTACTTTTGTGATTTGGGCCCGCTTTAATTTGACTGAAGCAAAATTAATTCATAATGAGAAATGTTTTAAGGTGAATATGGTCTTTTAAACAAGAAAAGCAAAGAGGACACTAAGACTCACTACTAAGAGAAGAAAAATGATATGAGATGACAAATCTAGTAAAATGGATTTCAGTGCCTATAGATAGTTTTTAACCTACCAGTTTGTCTAGGGTGTCTCTTGTCCTGGTTACTTAAAATGTGTATGGTCTTTAAGAACTCTCTCTTGACTTGGAGTTTTTAATATTATTGCCCACATTTTAATAATATACAAATACATTACTAGTATTTTTCTAAATACAGTCCAATTTTTTTTTTGCCTACTAAGTTGTTATTATGTGCACTTCTAGTAGAAATCTAGTTAATCAACTACATTTATGTGTGTGTGTTACTTGTATGTAAGCCATAATAGTATCTTCTAATTATTAAACATCTGGTAGGTTAAGTCACTGTGTATGCTATATACTTTTTTTAGTTTATTTCTAGTGCATAAATCTAGATCTCATTTTCGTCTTTTATATATGAGAGAACTGTGGATTACAGAAATTAAATGAATTGACTTTGGGTAATTTACCCAATTTTTTGGGTATTTTGGGAATTTACCCAAAGTTTTAAGCAACAAAACTAGTATTCGAATCCAAATTTGATTTTTTCCAAAGCCTACATTTTGAAAATTCACAATCTAGGTGCTTTCTTCTTCATCAAGTTCTTATAAGAACATTTATTAATTTACTGTTTCTTGATCCAGAACACTTTACTTGGAATAAATGAAAATAACTGTTTCACCTATTAATGCTTGATTCATTTATTCAATTAATAAATACTAAAAAAATATATATATATCCTCAACATCAAGTTAGAAAAGGGATTACTGTTGTATTCCATCCTGTCCATCAGTTTTTTGTTTTTCTAAAGAAATTTCTAGTAACTGTCTTATTTCTATTAACTTGTTCTTGCTCTGCCAAACCCCTTGAAAGAAGTCATGGAGTGGGTTGGATTTTTCTGTTTTTATTTTTTTTTTTTTTGTCTATTTCTTCATTAGGTTCTGCATACTAGATACGTACATCCATTTGCCCTTTTCGTCTTGTGTAAGACTCTCTCTCTTTCCCCCATCCCCCATTTTGTTATACCTTTAAATTGTTTGGCTTTTCTTTTATTTGCTATTGATAATCTCTTCCACTACATTTTTACTTTACTTTGTTATCTTACAGCTTTTCCAATTTACTATTTTCAATTTTCTGACATATTTCCAAATCTTTTGATATTTCCATCTGCTTTTGATATTTTAGTAGGGAAACTTTCAATTGTAGATATGATACCAGCATTTTCCTATTAAAAAGTCTTTCTTCAAGGCATAAAACTCTGTTAGAAACCTTGTCATAGGCCACATTTTAAACCCTCCAGTCCAGTGAAATGAATTTTGTATATTTCATCCAGTTATGGGTGGGTTTTTATTTTTATGTAAATGAGTATGGAAATCTACTTCCTTTGATAATAGCATGTTTATTTTCAGTATCTTAGTATAAAGAATGGCATATAAATACTTGGTTTTATTGTTTTCAGTATGTAGCACTTCTGGTATTTTGAAAGAATTTCATTGTTAGCTCCCAGTTAATAATACTATGTCATTCATTTATAGGGTGTGTTTGACCATCGAGTGAAATGCTGGCAGAAATGGGAAGATGCCCAAATTACTTTGCTCAAAAAACGTGAAACTGAAGCAAAAATGATGGTTGCTAACAAACCAGATAAAATACAGCAAGCTAAAAATGAAATAAGAGAGGTGATTAATATGCTTTATCTTTTACCCAAGTTTTCCATAAGTCATTCATATATGCATAATTTTTCATAAATTTTTTTCTGAACCATGCTACACCTAGCAATTTTTTTCATAATTTGTAAACTGTTTTAGAATTATTTTAGCATTTTGATCATCGTAAAAATCTCCAGCAGCTTTTGTTACTTTCACATAATTATGGAACGGATAAAGAAGCATACAGGGAAAGCATTTAAATAACCTTTCTTTTGAGATGCTTTGATTTCAGAGAGTGACTTGTGTATTACCCCCCATATATATGTACTATATATGGTCTGCTAGCAAATCTGTGTGAGTTTATTACAATGTGTACACTTCTCTTGCCATGCTTCAATAAGGAAATTGAAGAGGTATGACAACCTTTATTTCACTTACAGTCGAGGGGCCTGCTCCGCGGAGCGCGTGCCCATTTGGTCACATAGTGGGGAGGAGCCTTCCATCGCTTAACTCTTCATTTATTTTATTTCTAGCTGTTCCATTGGTCACTGATCACAGCGTTCATTGTTTCTGTAGTGAGTTTAATGTTTACTAATAGCTCTTCACTAGACCATAATTGCATAATTTTTTTTTTTTAATCTGGACATTACACCATCACAAAAATGTTTCCTAAATGTATGTCACATTAATTTTTCTAATGATTTCCATGGCATATAAATTGTGATGACCATGTCTTCTTGAAATTAGGCAAATATTATTGATACATTTTGAAATAATTTACAGTTGTATAAAGAAATGAGAGGATTATACTCTTAACTGCTGAATTATTTGATGGTGAAGTTTATATTCAAAATCTTTTTCATCTAAATTAAGATATGGAGATTGTAATTCATTAAGCGCTATAAATCCTGATCTTGAGTATATCTGACAGTAAAATATTAATGGAAATTAAGCTGATAATGCACTTCCACTACTGTAAAGTTAGATACAAGTTTGAGTGATGCCAAACTGGGTCTTGCCAATGGTGAGCTTTCAGGATTTTTAGGCATTGTGTTATATAAATTAAATGAGTGGTCGTGACAGCTAGTTCTAATGATTCTTCCCAGGCAAGATTTAAAAATTTGTACCTTTTGTTTTTGTCAGTGGGAGGCAAAAGTACAACAAGGAGAAAGAGATTTTGAACAGATCTCTAAAACAATTCGAAAAGAAGTGGGAAGATTTGAGGCAAGTTTAATGATTTTACACTTTTCTTAATGTGGTCACATTTTGCTGTGATACTGTGGTATAATCAAATTTAGTTTTGTACTAATGGAGCTTCCTCCCCCCCTCATTTATTGTATTTTAACAGAAAGAACGAGTGAAAGATTTTAAAACTGTTATTATCAAGTACTTAGAATCATTAGTACAAACACAACAACAGGTAAGGTAGTTTTTTTTTTTTTATAACTTACAGACCTCTAGAACTTGCTTTTGATAAACTTTTTTATTTTAAAGATGATAACTACTGAAACGAGCTTTTAAACTTGAGAAGCAACAAATGGAGTAGAAAAAACTAAAGCTAGCAAATGGAAAATAAAATGGTATAGTGTCCTCCAGTCCTTTTTGGGGTTCCCTGGTAGCTCAGGTAGTAAACAGTCTGCATTGCAGGAGATCCAGGTTCGATTCCTGAGTCAGGAAGATCCCCTGGAGAAGGAAATGGCAATCCACTCCAATATTGTTGCCTGGAGAATTCCATGGACAGACCATGGGGTCACAAAGAATGGGACATGACGGAGCAACTTAACACTTTCACTTTGAAGTTCTTTTTGCCTCTACTCCTAACCCCTAGGAGAGAGATGGGTTTCTCAATTTTAGACTTTTGAGAAACATACTGTACTATTTTTCCTTTTTTCTCTGTCTTCCCAGTTTTATTTCTCTATTGATCACTGCTGTTTAAATACATTCTTATAGTAAGTTCTCTTTCATACTAGCTAGAACTTAAACTAAAAACTAAGTTTTGAAGGTTTTTAAAAAAATATTGGTTTGATTTTTGCTTTAGTTTGTGTGGGTTTCATGTTGATTGTATACCACAAGTGGCATTTGTCTCCTTAAATAGGGAAAACCATGAGTTTTCATTATAGTATAATCTGTAACAAGATAATAGAGGTTTTTTCCCCTGTGTATTTTAATGTAACTTTGAGTAATATATCAAATTACTTAATGTCTTGAACAGAAGGATTTCTTCCCCCAGTTCTTTTAAAACTATATAATAGATTAAATTTTTAAATTAGGTGATGACATTGTATCTTCAATTTTTATGTCAATCTGTACTATTTTCTGGACTATCCAGGAAAGACCGACAGCTAATAATTCTTTACAGTCTCTCTTTTTCCCTTTCTTGCTTGGATGTTTTCTTTTCTTCCTTCTTTTTTTAATCATTCTTTTTGGCTGGCAATAGCATAAAATGTGAATATCCTCTGAATTAGGAGATGTTATCACTTTATATGGAAAAGCTCATTGCAGTTTTATTATTTAAGATAATCTTATATAGTTTACACTAGCAAAACTTTTTATATATACAATTTTGCATAAATTAATCTTAAATTTTTAGGTATTTTTTTAATTGTGTTTTTTATTACAAAAATTGAAATGAACCATGAGTAGTTAATATTTTTAAATAATTAAAAACTAATTATATTGACAAGCTGTTTAAGGGAATTTAGATGGTCCCTTTAAGAATCAGACTTTAGTAAATGTTATTTATTGTTAGCTAGATTTTTTTAATGCTTCATGGAGTATATTATATATATGACAGGTTATAAGAATATCTTTTATTATCATCCACAGCTGATAAAATACTGGGAGGCATTCCTACCTGAGGCCAAAGCCATTGCCTAGCAAGAAGATTATTCCTGTTAAGAAGATCTTGGATGCTTGTTCCAGTTATGCAGAATTCCATAGTGAAATCATTAAAAACCATCTAAATAAACCACTATATATTTTATGAATTACATGTGGTTTTTTATAAATATATATTCTGACATTTTATTACAAGCTGCATGTCCTGACCCTCTTTGAATTAAGTGGACTGTGGCATGACATTCTGCAATACTTTGCTGAATTGAACACTATTGTGTCTTAAATACTTGCACTAAAAAGTGCGCTGCGAGGCCAGAAAATTTTACAATATTTTTTCTTTACAGTATGTTCTGTAGTGTGTTCACCCTCTTTATGAAGTGAATTATCAATGCATTGATTAATGTTCACTTATACATTCCTGTACAGAAATTATGATTTTGTGATTACAGTAATAAAATGATATTCCTTGTGAAGTATTAGTAACAAATTATTTGGGTATGTAAACATATTAGAGGTCTTTTGAAAGCATTTTAATACAAAGAAGCTTTTTCTTTTAGATGTATTTAGGTGATGCTATGATCATTAATTTTTTAATTGACCAAAAAAGCTAAACTCTTTCATTACTAAGTCACTAAATGAAGGTTAATTAAGTTTTGTTTTTGCAAAATCATCATAAACCAAAGAACATTTATCTCTTGGTTCAGCTTTGGGGAATGCTTTTGTCTTGAGTAGAGGAGTAATAGTTGTCTTGTTTTTTATCCTTTCCTATTATAAGTGCCCAATTTAACAACTTAAAAAATATTTATCTGTTTCTGTTACAGGTCCTATGGATTTTGCTCATCTTCTATTACCTTCAAAGTCTAAGACTTTGCATATATTTAATTTATTCCTTACCTTGCCTTTTTTGTTTGTTTTAAGCTAAAAGATCATCTGTGGTCATCATTGACAGAGAAAAGCGCTGTGCTAAAATACCCAGTTATTTGATGAACAACCAATGATAGTGCAAAGAAAATTTGAAGTAAAGTGAAATTTGTCTTCGGCAGCCATCTCACCTATTTCTGTATCATGTTTACATGGCAGTTATATAATCCTTAATGTTGATGAAAATTTAAGTTGTGACTAGCATCAGGCTTTTCTTAAAGATGCTCCTCTTCTCAGGCTTAGCAATTGTATCTCCCTTCTGGAAGGGTAAGATGTACGTGTAGCTGAGTCTTTTCTAACAGCTTACTGAACACAGTTAACATAGCAGAGTACCCTCAGGCTATGTTTGCTTCCACTTATTTTAGTTGAAATTTTTAGCCTCCTGTAGGTATTGTTCATATTTATAATCCTAGAACCTAGAAGAATACCTGACACTTACAGATTAATAATAAAGACTTGATGAGTTGAACAGAAAAGAAAAAATCCTGGACAATGCAAAATAATGTTTGCTGTCTTAAGGAGAAACTGAATCGGAAATAGTACAGTCTTCTGTTGTTGCTTCTCTTGGAGGTGACTGAGATACTTTTAAGAAATGAGTAATTCATATTAATATATATCAGATCCCCTACCTTGTTGTCTTGTTAATATTGAGCAAAATACAGGCTTCCTGGGAACAGTTTCACTATAATGATGTTTTAGTATTCGGTATATAGTTTTGTTACTTCCGAAGATTCAGTTTACACATAGGATAGAAACTTAGTTACTCAAGCAGAAATCTTCAGTTCTGCTGTGATATATTTTTAACAACCTTCAGGACCACCAAATAAAATAATAAATATTTTCAGACTTAAGCTGAAGAGAGTAACAGACCTGAGTCTATTCCAGATTTCATTCCCGTTAACAATCTTTTTATTAAAAGATAGAGTATTGGAAATTTCAAATAAATTATGTGAGCCTCTGAGACAGGATTTAATTTCTTCAGCCCTACATTCATCTTTAGCCATCAGTCTTCACATCTCTTATTCCTCTTACTAAAATACTTTCATTCCAAGTAAATAGAACAGCAAGAGCCTTAATAGTACAGTTCATATAATCTTTTAGTTATAAGCATACGCATTAGAATTTTTTTTTTTAACCAGATAAAAGTTAAAGAAGGACTAAGGCAGCATAATACAGCGGAACAAACTGAACTTGGAGTCAGCATACTTGTGTTGAGTCTTTATCACTCGGTAACTGTGTGACCCATCTATAAAACAAGGGTATCAAACTGATTCCTAAAGTGCCTTTCTACTTTAAAGTATGTTGTTTACCAAGTTTTAGCATAAATATTATTCTATTAGAGAGTCAAATTCTAATAAAAATCACCTTCTATTAATAAAGTAAAAGCAAGGCTAAAGCAAAATAAATGTGTATAAAAATTTCTAAAATGTAAGGTAAGTTTTTTTTATTGTATTTTTGATGAGTAATTTCAACTATCCATCTTCTTTTTTATACATACATATATATATTTATATTAATCTCCTACCCTTGTTACATTGTTGGCTACGATATAGCAAAGTTTTACCAATTTCTTGTGTAGGTTGTTCCATAAGTGGCTTTTAAATATAAAATAAGTCTCAACAAGTCAGGTTTCTTTAAAGGAAGGAAATCAGATGAGTAAAAATGGAAGATTAGAGTCCTTTTAAAAAATTACTTCTTGAATAACTTCTAAGGAAGTTATAGAGATTTTTGTTTTTCTGTCCTGTAGCACATGACTAGTTATAAAGCCAAATGTCTACTTCACTTTCTTGTTACGGCTCCCTGCATGGGCAGTCATGTGACTAACAAGACTCAGGACTATAGATAGAAGGAGCAGAGGTCATCCTGTTTTAGAGGAAGGAAGGTTGCTGATAGGAGGAAGGACAACAGCTGTGAAAAGAAAGTGCAGTCACTGACTTGAGATCTTTGGACACATTTCCATATCCACTGGCAGGAAATGTGTATGTTACCATATTTGTGATACAATCTGTTTCAAAGTATTGAAAAAAAGAATAAAATCCCGAATCAAACAAGTTTCATTTCTAATCCTCACAGTGAAGGGTATGGTTTCAATAATAATGAAGATAAATGATTGGCCAGACACAGAAATAGCAAGAAGAGGGAGCTTGCGACAGGAGTGGTATCAAAATTGTTGACTCCTCACCTTTGTAGTCACGGCCGTGAGGAGAGGGCACGGTGATCTGTGACGAGGTCCTTAGTGTCGCAGACCAGTAGGAATACACTGTGGGCCACATACATGATTCTCAGTTTTCTATACCCGTATTTTAAAGAGTGAATGAAACAGGTAAAGTTAATTTTTAACTGAGTAGCTCTGAAATACTTTAGCATGCAATCCAGTATATTAAAAATTACTGTGATGTTTCACATTCTGTTTTTTGTACTAAGTGTTCGATATCCCCTGTGTATTTCGCACTTTGTATATGCAGTCAGACTAGCCACATGTTAAGTGATCGGTTGTCACGTGTGGCTAGTGGCTGTGACTCTGGACAGTTCAGATTTAGATAATTGCATGGAACTAGAAAAGGAGAGTTACATCCAACAGCGATTTTTTTGTTTACCACTCCAAATCCAGTGAAGTGTTAAAAGCTAAAGAAAAGGGACTTGGTGGTGGTGCTCCCAAAAGGTATAATTCAATTCAGGTATAAGACTTTGCAGCACAGTACTTTGCAAGTAGTGAGCACTCGTAACATTCAACAAATGGTAGCACTTTATTTCCTGATGGAAAATTAGAGACTCTAGTACAACTTCCTTATTTTACAGATAAGCAAACCCGGAATCTTAAATCATTATAATTGAACTGATTTTTCTTAAATCTGTTGAAACATTCTTCCTTGAAAATGTATGAAAAGATACATTAGCGATTCTTCTTCTAATCATTAACATAGAATTCTAGATAGTCCTTTGGTATACAGAGAATTTATTTCTTCAAACGGTTCCTTCAGAAGTGGCTAAGAATAGAAGATGGTACAAACAGGAAAGTTGTGGCTTGCTATCTGATCCTTTAATGCACATAAAGATATTAAAAATCCTCATCTTCCTTCCTCTTGTCACATACTTTAATTCTCAAGAAATTGAATAATTTTAAGTATTTTTCTTAATACACTGAGTCAAATGGAAACTTTGTAACTAAAGACAATTAAGGTGAAGCTGCCCACTTGTTAATACACAGAAATTTTTTTTTTTAATTTATTAACACCAGTTAGTGGGATTAAACTGATTTAAGGGACTTCTTTGAGGAAAAAAGTTCTATTTTAAATTTATATGTGTAACTGTTTAATAAAACTCAAATCAGACAGAATCTAACAAAATTGAACAATAAATTGCTTTCTTCTTGCTTCCATTATCAAGTCTTGAGTTATCTTGATTTTAACCTATATTTATTTCCTAGGTCTTTATTTCAGGTGGTTCTCAGCATATGTGTGTATAAGTGTGTGTGGACTTGTGTGTGTACATGAATGTGCATGTGCATGCATGAGAGGAGACTTTAACCAACCCTTGCTGCTAAATTTCAGTTAAAAGTGCTTCTTATCTTCTTGCAACTGAGACACAAAATGCTTATGTTTTCATTTACATAGCTGAGATTTTTTTTGCCAAGACCAATTTGAGTTGATTCTATTTGTAAAATCTGTTCCCTTCTCATTTCTTCTCCTTCTCCTCACAAGATCTTGTGAACTTGATAAAGTCCAAATTATCCAGAACCTGGTTTCAAACCACTTTTCCTGTCTTGGTCTTACTCCATGCCTTCACCCACCTTTTGCTTTAATCAAATGATGCCCCTGTCTATCCTTTTATGGGTCAGTGCTGTTGGTGTTGCCTTGTCTAAATTAACTTTTTCCTCTTTACCAGCAACTCATTAAATCCTATTCAGTCTTTTATGAAGTTCACATCCTCCATATATCCTTTTTTGTCTTCTAACTAGAAGGAAGCAAGGAACTTCTGGATCTCCTAGCAGGACTTTGGTAACATTTTGCACCTTTCAGATTGTGTTTACTGATGTTTACCTTGCATTATAGCCGTCTTTCTACTTTGAGTAGTCTGTATGCTTCTTGAGGAACGACTATGTTCTTGTTATTTCTTCTAGAACCCAGTATGGTACAATCAAGGGAGTGTAATGGGGTGATGAAATATACAATTATGCATCCAGCCTGACTGAACCCTGGCTCAAGAATCTACACCATTGACTTAGAGAAAGTTATTTTTCTCTAAAACTTAAGGTTTCCTTATTTGTAAAAGTTTCCTTATTTGGAAAGTAATTAGTACCTGTTTAGGTGCTCTTTCAGGGGATTTAAGATATTGATGTGACTTTCTCAGCAATAGCATGTACTTAATAAATATTAGCTGTTACGCATCCAATAAATGTTTACCAAATATTTAATCTCAGTCTGAACAAAATGACCTGCATTTTGATTATTTTACCAGTCTTTACTGCTTCTTTAAAACAACAGGTGTACACTTGACTAGGATCTAAATGGACTTACCCAACAGAGTCCTTCTCAGAAAAGTCTGTCCCTAAGATCTGCTCTTAGAGCCCTGAGGCTGAGGATCAGGGATGGAGGGGAAGAAGGCTTGCAGACAAAATCCTTTTTTTTTTTTTTTTTTTCAGCCAGCAAAAGCTTAGATCTACCCCCACTACAAAGATGCTATAGTTAAATGAGTCTTGTCAGGAAACTGGAGACTTTTAAAGAAGCTTGGGGACAAATGAAAGAAGGGTGAGAGAAAAATGGGGCGACTGCTTAGGGCAAGTTTGTTTCCACACAGAAACATAGAAGAACCTTGAATGTGTTGTAGACTAAGGGAAGTAGTAATCAATGGAGAAAACCGTGGAGAATAAAAAGATCTTGACAGCAATTGATGGAACAGTAATCACACAGCCAACTGTATGGTGAGGGCAGACACTGCAGTGGTAACTGAGAGGGAGGGGCGGGGGCGGTAAGAAGAGGCCAGCATCACTCATTCATTCACTCGTGGAGTATTTGTTCAGTCTCTGCAGCGTCAGGCACTGGAGTAATGGATTGGTATCAGGGAAGAACAAGAAGGTTGTCTAGAATGATCCCCTGATTTCTGGCTTTGATGACTTAGGATACTTCTGCTTTGAGTAACTGAGATAGTATGAGAGAGTTCTGGGCATGGTATATTGTTTTCCATTGTAGTTTTATCACAGGATATTGACACAGTAGGACTGTGTTTATCCATTCTGCATGTAATAGTTTGCATCTGCTAACCTCAAGCTCCCAATCCATCCCTCGCCCACCCACCACCCCATCCACCATGTTTTTGATGTACCTTTGGGCATCCAAGATGAAAATACATGAAAACATAAGTCAGGACTAGATGTTCTGTCATCAGGTTAGAATGTGAACATGCTCTGTTCCTTGAAACCATGGTTATTAATGAATGCCTTCTCAGAGAACAAATAAAATGTGACTCAGCCTGCTGAGGACAAAACATCACATACAGGTAACATCTAAGGGAAGAGTGGAGGTGAATAAGTCAGGGAAGTGCAAAGAGCCTCAGGAAAAAAGGGAGTTTCTTCCTCTGGACAAAAGGAAGGGAGAGGACATTTCCATTATTTGGAAATAATGCCTGAATGCTTTTATTTTTTCAGTGAAAAAGGAAATTAAACCATCATCAGGGAATACCAGCAGAAAAGCCAAAGGAAATGGGGGGCCACAGGAAAGTGGTAGATGTCTAGAAAACAAATTGAGAAGAGTCAGAGCTATGGATGAGTACCCACTTTCAAACAAGTTTGGAAATCATGAATTTAAAATGAAGTCAACCAAAGTATCCATTTTTTTTTCAGCCATGAGAAAGCAAGACAAAGTTTTGATTTATTCAAGATTAGGGATTGGTGGTATATGTAAGAAAGCCAAGGGGGGAGGGATTTTGAATGATTTAAAAGACTGAAAAGATGAAGGCAAGTGAGGTGACAGGCACAGATTGGGGAATGCAGCTATGATGAGGTGAAAGAATAATTTTTTTGGTAAGAGGAAACAGGAGTCGAGAAAGCAGTCAAAGGAGGAAACCTGCATTTAAGAAGTAACATTAATTAGTGTATTGCCACCTTTTTAAAGGCAGTAAAAGAATAACTTCAATATGACAGCTGCATAGAGCTCATAGTGCGACCAAGGTTATTTCTGTGGGTTCTTCAACTGTACGTTTTGGTTTGCTAAAGTATCGAAAGCTTTTTGCATGTTGACTTTAGTCTTTTGATTCTTAAGTTGTCTATCTCATCAAATCACTCCATGCGCATAGTCTGAAAACTAGCATCAGAAATATAAAACACAGTGGTTCTATGCCCCACAAACCACGATTTCCCTGGTTCTTTTCCTCAAAGATAACCTCTTTCTAAGCTGTTTCTTCCACCGTTTAAATACCTTCACATTTCTAAGTAGAATGCATATCCTGCTGTCATTTGAATCATCAATTTTAGACATCATCCACATCTTTTTTTATGGCAACTGAGAGTTTTTCTCTTACACTACCATCCATCTGCTTCATACGCTCATCTCCCACTTCCAGTGTAGTTACAGTTTTTGGTTAAATTAGTATTTTCATTTTTAATGCCTTACAAATATCATTCACTGCTGAACACGTTTTAGTATATTTAATCATTACTGTCTTCCTTAAAAAAAAACAACTTTAGAACCATACTAGAATTATATTAAAAGGTAGTACACATACAGTTACAGTATACCTGGCTTCTCTTATTATTAACATGTTACTGTAGTACATTTGTTACAGTTAATGAACAAATACAGTTACATTACTATTAACTAGCATGTATGAATGCTGTCACGTCCAACTCAGACCCCATGGTCTGCACCCCACCAGTCTCCTCAGTCCATTGGATTTTCCAGGCAAGAATACTGGAGTGGGTTACATTTCCTCCAGGGAATCTTCCCAACCCAGGGACAGAACCCGTCTCCTGCGTCTCTTGCATTGGCAGGCAGATTCTTTACCCCGAGCCACCTGAGAAGCCCATTATTAACTGGAGACCATGGTTTATTCAGATTGCTTTTGTTTCTGCCTAATGTCCTTTTTCTCTTCTAAGATTTCATGCAAGATACTGCGTTACATTTAGTTGTCATCTCCTCCTGTTACTCTTGGTTGTGACAGTTTCTTAGACTTTCGTTTTCTTCAGTGACTTTACTGGGTTTTTTTGTTGTTGTTTTTCTTGAGTTAAAACATACCTTGTCCCCCCCCCCT